GGTTCCCAGCTTGTGCAGAGCCTGGTATATTTTGCATCTATTAGTACACTGCCCTTTGTGCAATCTGCTCCATGCTGTGCAACTCCTTGCTACCCAGGGAGAAATTCTTTGTGTAAGATGGAGGGATGCCTTTAGCAAACCTTGGTCACATGTTAAAATTAGAGGTGAGTCCAAACTGCAACAGAAGACCCAAACCACCTTGAATGTTGATGAAACTCATATTTGGATCCTAATATGAGCATAGAAGTTCTGGCCCATCTTTATGAAAAGAACCTGAACCAGAATAGAAGATCAGATCTCCTTAAACTTTGGGGAATTTAGGGTGTCAGTTTTTCAGTGCAGACAAATCTCTTGGGATAATTTCATTCACTCCTTGACTTGAAGAGATAAGTGATGATAATTTCAATGGGAATTATGCACACACATTGGAGTGAAGGATGGATTGAGGCTAATTATGGCCTAAATTTAAAAAAATGAAAAGTGAGGGAGAAGCAACCCTGGAAGGCGTGAGGAAGCCAGAACAGATGCTGGGAAAGACTGCCCCATTACCAAGAGTTTGGGGAATCTTTGCAAGGTCCAGACTGCCTGATTTGTTCACCTGGTCTGAGTCCTGTAAAGAACATACCCTTAGAGTAGGGCAAATAACATCTAACCCTCCAGATTATTATCACAACTACCACTCCAACTGATACAGAGTTTCTGAGTTAACACAATGTTTCCACTCTTTCAGCTCAATAGCAGAGTGGGTGTATGGAAATGTCATCATTTTGGCAATCAATCAAACTATTAAAGTCTCTGCAGAAAGGCCAAACAGATTGATGGAAAATGCAGCTCCTGCGGCTGTCTTAAGAAAAGACTTCCCCCCCACCCCCAAAACCAGTCAGGGTGTGGTTTAGTTCTCAGTCTTCATTATTGAGATGTGGATTTGTAAAAGAAGATGAGACATTAAAAATAGCACTTTCAAAAGGTTTTGTTGAGAGAGATGATAATAAACCAGAAATAATAGTTTGTCCAAGCTCAGTTTTCCCGGGGGGCACTCTCAATGCCACTTTTGTTGTGGATAAGGAGCGACTGCTTTTCTTGGGACATTTGTGGGAGTTTGGGGTGCACAATGGGGTATTTGTGCCAGTTTCAGTGATACAATGTGGTACTTACATCAACCTGGGGTGCAAAGAGGAGTAATATTTTGTATTACTCACCCCCAATACTATGCAAATGCACAAAGCGACCTCTTTATTAATTATTATTATTTATTTGTAGTAAAATAGCATCTCAAAGCTCCAATCTGGGGTCAAGGACCCATTGGACTGAGGACAGCACACACATGCAATAAAAAAGACAATCCCTTCTCCAAAGAGCTTACAATTTCAGCATATGATGAGGGGCAATAGGTGGATACAACAAATGAATGGCAGTGAGAGAAGACTCGGTAATAATGACACGATCACATTTAGTATAACAAGCAGCAGTCACAGCATATCAATTGCCTAGCTATTTTTGAGTGCCACTGTGATGCGGTAGCCAGCAAGGGTACCAGTTGCTGCCACGTGTGATGAAGTTTGCTTGTGAGGTAGGCACCTGTGCACTAAGGATAGGAATGAGACCACCAAATTCATTTCACAAGGATCTCCATCTCTGCTAACCGGAGGTGGATTTGAACCAGTGACCAAGAGGTGAAAGTTTTCTGATGAATTCATCCTTCTCATTATGTTATTTCCAAGGAACCATTTATGCCTTATCTCTTCACAAGAAGTGGGATAGTTAATGAATAGAAACAATCAAGATTAATCTGAAAAAACAAACTTGCTGATCATTTTTATGGACAACAGTCCTCCAGAGTCTTTGTGTTCTTTCAGCCACTGTATATTTTTGGGAAGATGGAGGGGTATATTTCCAGAATGGAAACATGATCTAACTAAAGTTGTGCAGGTGGAACCTTATCTTAAAAATGGCGTCTGACTGGGATGAAGAACCTGGAAGGTAGAAATTGTGACTGGTTAGAAGAGGAGTGAACAGCCAATATTAATTGTGGTATTTTCTAATTTTTGAGTGTCTGGCTTTGCAACCTTAATGTTCTTTTAACATTAGTAACATTGTTTTTTTTGTGTGTAATAATATTAAAATGAAATATGGCTAACAAAATAAACCCACTTGAAGCAGAAGCTTCTCAGTACCCCACAGATGAACCCCAGCTGCAAGGTTCAAGACCAAAGTTTGGGGTGGTTTGGATCCTGAGGTTTGGCTCATCAAGGAAATGGAAAGGGTGCAGGGAGAAAGAGCTGTGAAGTATGGATCTGAAGTCCTTCAGAGTTTGGGGTGTTCAAATGCAATGTATTGGCATGGTCCCAACTCTCCTTTTAAATTTAAAATTCTTCCTTTGTTTCCCTGAATTTTTAAAAATTAATGTAATAAAGTGCAAAGGGAAACAACTATGCTGCTTTCTCCAGGAGGGAATGAATGAATGGCAAGGAAGATAATGAAATCCCTAGCTGAAAATTATTTAGTGGAACATTCAGTTATGGACCCAAACACTTACACTGAAAGCAAAACACCAACTGTTCTGCATGAAATTGATGACTAACAAGAACACAGAGAATCACCCAACATAGTAACATAGCTATCACAGGTATTCTTTCCCCGCTCTAATGAGGCTAACCGGCTGATCTAAGCCATATGTCTTAATCATCATGAAAACTGGGCTGATTTCCCTCCTGTCTTAAAACAGCATTTCAATATTGGCTAACAAACCTACAGCTAATGCTACGCAGTTTCTGCAATACACATTGGCTGTGTGGAAACTATACAACTTCCCCCAAGGGATAGCAGTGTGTGGTTTACATTTTGGGGTCAGACCAGGAAAGCCCTCTTTGTTTTCATTCACTTGTACCTTCAAGCCAACTTTGTGGCGCTAAGTAGATAAAATTAGTGTCAAAGCAGAGTTTTCCCGTAACTAGTCTACGAGCTGTAATTTTTATGGGAGTTCTTTCTATTATGGATTACCAGCAGTTTAGGATTTTTTCCAGCTGGAATGGAGTGGCGCATACTCTCTCACATGAATGTTTCTAAGCTAAAACCTTCTAAGCACAGGCATAAAACAAAGGCCCCATCCCCTGGATACAGCTGTCAGCTTGGAAATGAGAGCAAAAAAGACATTTCCTGTTCTTTCCAAATGGTTTTCCCAGGCAGTAAATGCTCTTATAACCTGCACATAATCCCAGAATCAAACACCCTGTAAGATTAGGTGCTATCTAGCTTCCAGTTGAGGTGAACTTTAGCATGATTCCAGTCAGTTTAGCCAATGGGAAGCTTCCCTTTGGGTTACCTCACAGAATTGTTCCCTCCAGATCATGAAGCTCCTCATGGAAGTCCCAGCTGCAGTAGCACGGAGGCTACACACCCACTAGCCATGTCTAGGCAGGGAATTCTATAAAAAAACATGCTACCACCAGTTTGGTTGAACTGGGTTAGTACTGGTGGGAGCGCCCGTGTAGACAAAACTGGCAGCAGGTGCTGTTTTTACCAACTGGTCCAATGCATGAGAGACTCCGCTAACTGGTGAAGTCTCTTTTAATGACTGGCTACCAGTTGGCAGGTTCAGCAATCTCCAGTTTGTTCGCTAAAAAGCAATTGTCTGCAAGGTGTTCATCATGCTGGAGACCGCTGTCCCGCTGCCCAAGCTTGGGTAGGCTTTTCAGCTTTGGGAATTGGCCTGAGAGAGGCACAAGGAGGAGGCAGAAATGCCCTGTTGATTTCCTATTTTCCTTATTTTGTTCTTTGTGAAAGACGCTCCCCACTGTTAAGGATTGGGGAATCTTCCAAGGACACCCCAGTACTATCTTTTGCATTGTCACAGAGTTTATTCCTCAGCAGGGGTGGGTAAGCTCTGTTCTTTCGCTATCCCCTCCCAAACACAGCCATGCAAGACTTTTGGAATGAGATCTAGTAAGCTGTGGCACAGTCTCTAGGGAAGAAATGTGGATTGGGACACTTAGAACTAGTATGGACAACGCATTAGAAGACCTAGGAAACAGGCCTGCATTGTCCAGGAGATGAACGGAATGATTTATTAGGTCTTTTCTGTACCTAATTTCTATGATTCTGTGAGCAAACCTCAAGCACTGCCCCAGAGGTGAAAATAAGCCAGTCTGATACGGTGTACCAGAAAGAGCCGGTACACAGCTGGTCGTACCGGCAGGAGGCAGCTTCCCCAGGCTGACAATTTAAAAGGGCCCTGGGCCCTGGCAGCGTCTGAAGCCCCTGGCCCTTTAAATCCCCGCTAGAGCCCCACCGCCAGAGCCCCGGGGTAGCAGCGGCAGGCGGGAGCCCTTGGGCTCCGGTGGTGATTTAAAGGGCTCCAGGATTTAAAGGCCCCGCCCCTTCCCCCCGAGGCCCCCCACCTCCCTTGATCAGGACCCCGGCCCTGTGTACCGGTAAGTCCCTTAAGTTACTTTCACCCCTGCACTGCCCACCCAGCCTGCTCTCCACTAGCTGTCTCTGGCTTGGTGTGGGCCTAGCCATGCCCATGGCATGATTGGCTGTACCCCAAACAGAAAGCACAACTTAATGGGAGCAAAATGAATCCACTCAAACAAGTTCACATGGACCCTCTGCAAGTCTTCTTCACCTACACTGCTTTTCCCTAAGATAGAATTCTCATCTCTCTATCTCAATCACGATCTCCTTCTCTGACTCACTCTTCTTCTCTCTTCTACCTATGAAATGTTATTCTCTAAAGAAAAATACTCTCCACAAATAAAAGCCTGGTGAGGTTTGTTGCCCGTAGTTCTTTCTTATGGATGAGAAACTCCAGATTTTTGGCACACACAGAAAGAGTAGTTTATCAGAAGACAGATTTCTTTGCAATGCCTCAGCAAGCACCTCCCCACTGTAAGCCACTCCTAACAGAATTCACCTCAGCCTCTTCAATGCTTTTTCTGTCTCCTAAATTACAGCTAAGTAAGAGGGCAATTAGGTTTCAACAATTAAAATGATTTACTTACCGCACGTAACAGCCGGAGCATCTCCACATATCTGCAGAAAGAGACAGAATTATATTAATTGCCATCAAGCTAGCACTGAATGAATCAGGGTGGAATGTGCAGCTTCATTTAAAAGATAGCAGCCAGATTTTAACAATGAACTCACACTTTCTCCGAAGACACCAGCTCCTGGGCTATGAGGTAAGCTCTGGACTGGCCTTCTTTCTGTTGAAAAGGAAACCACAGGTGTTAAGAAATCTCCCCTCCCCAAACAGAAAACAGGAAGAGCCAGAGAATGCCCGCAATCTGCATGATCCTTGAATTTGAGGCAGGGACTGTCTTTCTATTCTGAGTTCGTACACTGCCTAGCAGAACGGGGTCCTGATCCACAACTGCAGCTCTGCTGCTGCAATAGAAATAAATAAATAACATACAGCCTGAAATGGGGTCATGCTCTCAAGATTCAGGCTGTTGTTTTGGTGGCTATGGACTGACTCCTGACCATAATGATGTCAGAGAGAAAATTCCCATTGATTTCAATAGGGCAAAAATTCATCAGAAAGAAAGGCAGACAGATTCTAACTCTAGAAGGGTAATTTCATGACTGCAGGAGGCGAAGCTCATCAACTTTGTTCAGGCCACTCATGTGCAAGGAAAAGTGTTTTGTTTTTTAAATAGTTATATTCCAAACTGTTCCTACTCCAGTGCAAGCTAAAGAAGAAAACAAGTTCAAAGGGCTTTATTGCATGCTAAGCACATTTGATGAAATTAAACTGTGATAGATATATCCTGAAAGCAAACAGTGCAGTATTAAAGCAAATAACATCATTTTGAGATCACAGTGGAATGCATTTAAATCGGCAGAGATCTCAGAGGATGCAGAAATCTGCCAAAGAATGCAATGGCAGTGGTTCTTCAAGGCTCAAGAGGCTAATTATGATGCTTTGCTCTGGTTTCATGAATCATTTGTTTTAAATCGATTTACTTATTTAGTCTATTTATTTAGGACATTTTTAACAGGTTTATAAACCATTGCCATATAAATATCAGAGACAAAATGCTAATCATTACAAGAATGAGCTTTTGTTTAGAGAATAATTATATAGTGATATAATCAGCAGATCCCTCTATTTAACAGGTTGTTACCATATTACAGAGTGAGCCTCTTTACCAAGGTAAGAAATGGACAAAGTGTTGAAACCTTTATTGAGAAAGAAATCTTATACTAAAGTAAGTTTGACTTACACAGCAGCGATACTAAAGCAAGGAAGCAGCCTTACAAGAGGCCATACAACATGCCATTTATTCTTAAAAGGCAGGAGGCAGCATCAAGTATATTGTTTAAAGGGACCAGGTGTGTCATTAATTCATTGCTTAAAGAGCCTCCTTTAGAAGGTGTACAATCAAGCAGCCGGGAGATGCTGAGCTGTCGTGCACTAAGCTGGTTATTGTAATTTAGGTGCTTGGTTTGTTAGGGATCATGGTGCAATCATTTAATTCAGCCCCTCAATGAAAAGCATTTGTAGGGCCCCGGACCAAACTCCCAGATTCAAACTCCATCAACCTTGCTAAAGTTTAGAGCACATTCAAGCTTGGCAGTTCATCTCCAGTGTTTAAACACTGTAGTAATAGAAATCTGAACAGTAATTCTCCAAATTCCCCAAGCCTTTTTCGACTCTGGACTAGTAATCTTGTGACATCAGGTTTTTTTTACCCAAAGTTTCTGCTCCTTCCTGCTTCCACTCAGGCTGGTAATAAGAAAGGTTGAAAACAGCTTAGGGAAGATTTAAGCATTCCCTAGAAGTGCTGGAAACTGAAATCCAGAAGCATGATAGCTGGACCATGAAAACCCAGATGCAAAACTGACTGAAATGAAATCAACCAATATCGTTTCCATGCCCATCATTAATAAATCACAGAAAGAAAATAATCGGAATAAGTAATGAAAAGCAAACTTACATTTTAAAAATTCTTTCAGTTTTAAGGTGCTGTTCCCTACACAAGTAAGGATTTTTTTTTAAAAAAGTAGTGCATTTTATTTTGTCAGTGCCCCTTTAATATAAAAACGTTCAGCAGCAACAAGTGAGTCCTAAAACTGTCTATAACAGAGCGACGCAGGGTTATTCAAAACACGCTGCAAGTAAATCTCTTTTTACTGTACAAATGAGTGAAGGAAAGGTCTGGTCCCTTGAGTCTCTAAAGATCGACCTAATTTCGTAGTGTAGACATACCCAGTGATCATCTAATCATTCATTAGATTCAGTCATCTAATCCATCTCTCTGCCAATACAAGATTGTTCCCTACGGTCTGTTACCTAGGGCTTTATTGATTCTTGTTTAAATGGTCCAAAGAGGGGTGCTTCTCCTACTTTTCTTTGGGACACTGTTCTACTGCCATGGGACAGATGGTAGTATAGGCATTTTTCCCTGAAAGTCATCTTTTCCCTTTGTTAATTTCATTCCACTATTTGCAGTATACTCCTTGTACTACACTATCTATTTGTGTTTACACTTTACAATCATTTCTAAAGGGTTACCCTGTTTCTCTCTTCTTGTCACCAGTGATGATACATGGCATACACTACTGTCGGCACACAGGAGCTATCACGTGTCGCTGGTCAGCATCAGGATATTCTGAGCTCTTTTTCTTCCCCACCCTTTTGACTTGCAGACATAAATCAATTGAATGGCAATTTTATTTCTGGATTACCAAACCTAATACTGGCCAGTTTGCACGTCCTCTTTTGACAGGCTTGGCCAAGAAGCGAAGTATATTTCACCATTGGTGTGGGCCCACTCGCCTTTCATGTATACAGATTGTCACGGTCTGTAATTCTACTTGTGATTAATATGTCTTAGTTGAGAGACAAAACACTGGGACCCCTGGTGTCACATGACCAGTCTAGGGTGAGTTTTGAGACAGTGTCTCTAGGCGTTGCCCGTCTTGTGTTATTTAATTACTGTTTGCTTAACCAGGAAATGAACTCTGAGATTGACGACAGTGTCAGGAGACGGACTTCTGGGAATAGCGGGAGGCAGGGGGTGCGGGTCCTTCAACTATCAACCTTCTAAAACAAAGCCCAAGTGATTATTAAAACATGACTGAGCTACCACATTTGTAGTGATCTTTACTGTGTGCTCTTCAGCCCAGCAGTAAGCACTTTTGTACGCTTCCTCCCCAGGCTGCTGCTTCAGTAGCTGTGTACTCCAATCCCTGCTGTTTGTCTGTACTCAGCAGATGGAAGCGATGGATCTAGACAGAGGATTCTGGCTCTGTGCCTAACTGAGTCTTGTTGTCTTTATTAGCCTTATCTGTCCCACAATCTAAAATATATGCTATAGACAAGCAAAATGGCCCCTCAGATTGCCTGCCCTCAACAGTCAATGGAGTTTTCATCTGCTAATGAAGCTGCTTCTATATCAGGTATAACTTCCTGACAGTGAGATCTCTTACTTTGGGGAATGGTCTCTTGAGGGATGTGGTGGAAGCCTCATTGCTAGTTCATTTAAAACTGGACTGAACAGAGCACTGGAGAATATGCTGGGGAGCACTGACTAGACAAAGTACTCTAAAGGCCTTTTCCATCTCTAAATACTGTGAACTCTTACTGGTCTGGGGAGGGCCATGGAGTGCCCTGTTAGTTAAGCACATGATTTCCATGCTGCTTCCAACTCCCATGGGCCTAGGGGAATAAAATCAGACTCTCTGGATTTGAACCATCTCTTGAGAGATAGTGCAAAGCAGGAAATGTAATCATCAAGCTGTCTTGCACGTTTTCCTAAACAACACTCATATCTAACGCCTACCCAAAGAATATGCTTTTGTGACTCTTCCAAAATTGCACCCAAATAGTCAGCCACAATATTCCTCATTCAATGGCAGTCTTTAGTTTGTATATCAAACACTGTGCTCTAACTATCATATATGAATACTAACAGCTGATTGCAAGTCACTTGACATAACCTATTCCTGTTCATGAATGGCATAATAGACAGCAGGGGCAGATGATGTGCCTCAAATTACCAGAAACATCTAATTAACACAGAGAGACTCGTATTAGGATAAAGAATCCGCAGATTAATTGGTTACACACTCTGCATGGTGGGATATCAACCTGAAACTTAGGGCCCAGTCTTCTTCCAGAACAGTCAATGGAAGCAGGATGGGAACCTAAAACTCGAATGGCCCTGATTTTGCAAGCCTTTGGCATACAGAGCTCCCACTGACTTCAGTAAGACACAGAGCTTTGTGTAACTGAGAGCTCACTGTACCAGACTTGGGAATGTTGAGTTTGCTCAGCCTAGTCGTTGTCCTTCATTTAGAAAAGTATAAAGCCTCATCAGTGGATTATTTCTTAAAGATTGAAGGTCTTGCTGGACAGGAAAAAGACTACTTGACCCACAAAGCAGCTAGTTTTGGTGTATCTCTATCCCATCTCCCTGCTCTGTTAGTGCTTCAGTGCCTTGTTCTAAGAACTCCTCGACCTCCTTGCATTTCTCATCTCAGTCTCCAAGCTCTCAAGGATTACAACAGCATGGTCTGGTCACAGGGGAATGATGATGACCTGGATATTCTCCACATGACCCATTTTCAATTCATGGCACCCTAGTGCCCTGATTTGGTTCACAAAGCAGCTCCAGAGGAATGTCCTCCTGACTGAGAATCAAGGTCTCACAATATGAAATGGGAAAAAGATAAAATGAAATAATAAAAAGGATTAAATGAAAGAGAAAGAAAAAGAAAAGAAAAATAGATATTGTACTATAACAAAACCATGGCCACCTAGAACAACACATTTGTCACTATGCTATATACCATGGCCACCCAGATCTTCACAGCAACAAAATATACAGTATTCAGATTACATCCTGCTCCAAAAGCATAGGCCTTGAACCAATGGGAACTCTCCTATTAGCTGTTAGCAGTGTAGGTTTTATGGCACACAGTTCAGCAATTCTGATTCCATCCTGAGGAGCGCAGTGGTGTGTGCACACACATGGCCATAAACACACACAACATGATTCATTACAATATTAAGAAAACTAAAATCAACTTCTTTCTTCAGGCATGGACTGTCAAGTGTTAATGCTTTTGAACATACTCTAACACAATTACTATATTTATTACCTCAAATAAAAATAACAACACATACCATACGTAGCTGCTTTAATCAAGGATCTCAAACTGCTTTTACAAAGATTAATGAACTGTGCCTCACAATCCCCACATGATGTGGCTAAGCATTTTACAGACGGGAAAACTAAGGCACAGAGATGCTATGTGACTTGCCCAAGGTCAGTTTCTGTCTCTAAGCAAACTCTAGCAAACAGCTTGATTCACAATTTGTGTAGAACTTCACATCAAAGCTCTAATGGCCTTCAGTAGACCAGTAAAAGGAGGGTGGCAAGAGTGCTGGAGAGGTAGACCTTGCCTGCTGAGATTGGAGACTCCAATGGGGGTTGCCAACCCTCCAGGATCGTCTGGGAGTCCCCCAGGAATTAAAGATTAATCTTTAATTAAAGATTATGCCATGTGATGAAACCTCCAGGAATACCAAACTTGGCAACCCTAACTGTGTCCTCTCTTGACATTCTCTACATTGTTATTTTCTCTTTCGCTGCTCTCAGAGTGCAATTAGCTTGATTGAGACAATGTGTGCTCAGGTGGCATCACATAGATAAAGACAGGAAAAGTCACAGACAGCCTGGCTAAAAACAGCAATTTTCTGCCTTTGATGGAATAGACATGTATTATTGATATTATTTCATTGTCTTTGAGGGATCTGAATAAAATGATGAATAATGAGGAAACAAAGGCCAGTTGCTGATGCTCAGCATTGCAGGCTATCAAAAGCCCATACACATCAGGAGCCCATGAATGCTTCACAATATAGCTGCACTTTCACGGGGTCTTAACATGCTTATGGCACATGGAGTGTATGGTTTATTGCTCACATCCTCCCATCCCATCGTGTTACTCTTGGTGGGGGTGGGGTGGTAGGGTCTTTGCTTTCCAGCGACCATGCTTCCTGTTTTCCTGCAGGATAACCTCTTTCCAGGTAGTCGTAAACTAAACTTGATGATTAAAGTCCTGTTTCAGAGGAGACAGTTATTGTTAGGAGAGTCTCAGCTGCCTGCTTACAAGACAGACAAACTAGGAATGGGCCAAACCAAAGGTTACCAGTGTTGTGGAAAAGGTCTAGAGATCAGATCAGTGGTGGCCAATCAGTTCTTCCACTTTTGCAGACTAAGGTCTAGATCTCCATGGAGTGCACAAGCAGGGAGCGCAAGACTGTGGCACTCATGTACAGGGGCGAGCAGAGGTCACGTGTGAGCCCAGCTGAGGTTAAGTGCTAGGCTAAGTGCTCTGCACTGAGCGGTCTTAGGTCTCATGTCCCTTCTGCATCTACTTCCTTAATATCCAGGGTTCAGGGTAAAAAAAAGGATGAGGGTGGGGCTGGGGTGAGCAGAGTATGAGCATGTCTGAGGAGAAAGCCGGGGCTGGGGGGAAGGGGGCAGGGAAGGTACCATTCTTAGCATGCTGATACAGCACTTAAGCATCCTGACAGGCTTCACTGCTCCAGTTAGACAGCAGTGGCATGGCAGAGACAAAGCAGTAAACTCACTGAGGCAGGACGGGGTTGTCCCTCCAGAGCATCGCATTTGACTTTGTATTTATGTACTCTGCACCTGTGCTGGGCAATACCAAGCCTAAGACAGCAACTGGACCAGTCAATACCCATTGCCTACCACTCATCTGCATGCTTAACATGTCACTTGCCCAAGTGCTACTGCATAGCATAGAGCTGGACAGCTGATCACACATTTCATACATGACACAAGGATAGGGAGATTCAAGTAGCTTGAAGTTCTCAGTGCTCCAAGAAACAGAGGAGTAATAATAATGCTTTGTGTTTCATCAGAGGCAGCGTGGTATAGTGCATAAAACTAGGAGTCAGGAAAGCTAGGTTTCATTCTTAACTGTGCCACCGGCCGGCTGCATATCTCTAGCCAAGTTGCTTTGTCCCTCTGCTTCCCCTCCTACAATTTGTCTGTCTAACTGCTTTAGATTATAAACTCTTTGTGGCAGGGACTGTGCATCTGTACCACACCTAGCACAATGCTGCTGTCAGAATGATCAGAGGACTTTAAAGGGATTTATAAATATTAAATAACCCTCCTAACACCTCTATAATATAGGTTTATTCTTATTATTAATTTTATAGATAGATAAACTAAGGCACTGAAATAGCAGGGGGCCTTGTTCGAGGATTCATAATGAATTAGTGACACAGTTGGAGATGGAACCCAGGAGAGTCAACTTCCAATGGCTTGCTCTCGGGGCTAGATTGCAACCTGTCCTGGGGAATCTGTTCAATTATACAAGGCCAAATGTGGCCCATTAAGAGCTGTCTAAATGTGTCACTTCCTTAAGGGGCACAAATCCATTGCTCCCAAGTACAGCTTATGTTTGGGTTTTGAGGGTGTGGGTGTGTTTCAGTGTATGAAAGTTAAAGGTTTGCAAAACAGAGTGATTAATGGAGCCTGGAAACCGACCCCACCCAGTGGAAAGATAAGGAACAGCAAAGGCAATTTGACAGGCAGTAATAGTGAGATGGTTGCTGCCTTGGTCTTTGCAAAACCTTTGTATTCTAGCCTGATATTTCCTTCATTGCACACAACACAGGTCTCCTCTGTGTGCTGTGATGGTTCACTGCCTTCCCTGTCCCACTGCTGCCTTACATTCCTGGCACCTCAGAGAGGGTCATGGTAGTTTATCTTCAACGCTGCCCTCAGGATCAAATAATTTACTAAACTCCTTTATTAAGTCTCCACTACACCAAGGTATCCACTAGCATTACACAAAGGTAAGTTACCTGTATTGGGTGACCACTTCTCCAGCATGACCAGTATTGGATCCACATATAACAGCACTCTGTCCAAGGTGAGCAGCTAAAATGATCTGGGATGTCTACGGCCATAAGACACAGCCTGATTCTACTCTCATTTACACCATTTGTACACAGCTGTAGGCTTCAGTGGAGTGCCTCTTGATTTCCCTCAGTGTGAGGAAATAAACTCTGCATTTAAAATATGGCTTTATTTGTATTACACTAAAAGCACTTGATGCTTTATAAACAATCACATTATTGCAGGATCAAACTAGTCTAATTGAATCTTTCCTGGGAATCCCTTCAACTCTTCATGTCAAACACCCAGCCATGTTTATTAACAGACCCTTCTTCCCTGAGTGGTGTTTTAATGTACGATTCACTGTATACCACCCTTGAGTATAACAGGAACACTGAAATAGCTGATGCTGATGCAATATTCCCTAGTGAGCTGATATTTACCCTGTTACTACTGTACCCTTCCAAAGCCACCATTGTATAGAAGGTTGGCTCCTTATCAGCAATGGTGCAACTTGTCAGTCTGAGTCTAAATGCCTTCCATTGACTACTGGGGCTATTTTTAAGCCCATTGCCTATTCTTGTGACCAACACCCTTGTGTGTGACACCCAGGCTAGGTCAGGCAGCCAGACATCACAAAATGCAGCCTGAGGCACCCTCATGCCTTGCAGCTATCATATTTCCCTTGGCCTGGCTTCCCAACAAAGGAGGCTGGAGAAGTTAACTCCCAGTTCAGGGGCTGCATCTCCACTTCCGACAAGCTCACACCCCGCAACCTTTGCTTCACAGTCTTATATTGCTTGATATTGGAGTTTTGTGGATGCAATGAGAGTGCATGCATTGTTGTGGGTGCGTTGAAGGTGCACACATTTATGCGTGCATCCCCATTGAACCCTCCAAAAAGTGCTTCTCCTTTACTGGGCTTTTGTTTGTTCCTGACAGAGCTCTCAACATGATGGCACTACAATGCAGAAGAAGGATGGAGGTGTTTCAGGGGCCAGGGAACTGAAACTATCCAGCAAACTCCATAGGATTTGAAGTTACCCAGGTGAACCCCAACACTGGCCCCACAACCCCTTCCAATTCTCCACCAGCTATTAGAGCTTAAAATGTGGCCCCTGATCTACAGCATCTTCTGACTTGCTCTTTTCGTGATCCAATGTGGAAGTGACTCCCTACCACACAGAGTCTCTTGTCTTCATGGGCAAAGTGTCAGGCCTAGCAAAGGAATTGTCCTTGGAGTCACTTCAGTTTCAGGGTGAAGATTGCTGAGGAGATAAAGATGTAGCTGGGAATGGGGTCAAGTCAGGGAGGGCAGTTGTCTTAAGAGGCAGCCAGGAGGGGTGATCTGACTGAATACTCCTGCTTGGACTCCCAGAGTCCTGACACTAAAGTCTGAGGCCTTATCTCTGGTAGAGTAGTTAAATTTAAATCGGGGTTGTGGTTCAGGCCTTCTAAGTGCAGGATCCTTCCCAAGCTTTTTGGGATGCTCTGAAGCATTCGAAGCACAGCTAGCTTGGGAGAAGCCCAAAGGCTTGTGTGTCTCTAAACCTTCTCTGAATCTCTAGAGAACAACACTGGGCTGGTTGTCTCACAAGAGCAGCCCTTCTGAGGGCATCTTCTTGTTTCTATTTCTGGTCCTGGCTGGAAGTAGGAATTTCAGAGAAAGCTCCAAAAGGTATTAGCATAGGCAAAGTGAGAGGGCAGTCTGAGTTTGCAGGCTAGTGGGGTCTGAACTGCAAGTTCAGATCCAGATCTGAGCACCCCTAAAGTTCACAGCTATGTGGTTAGTTCATCTCAGTGTAGAACAAAGGACCAGCACCAAGTTTAGGTCTGGATCAAGTTCAAAGGGTGGGATGGATTTGGTTTGGATGTTTTTCTAGTACTAAGTGAAGGCTTTGGAGATGAAAAGATCCCTTATTTCACTTGAACCTGTACATGCCTACACCTCCCTGGAACCCACATTTGCCATTTGCCATCCCTAATCTGATGCTTTCCTCTATGCAGGCAAAGAAGACTCCAAAATCCATTGTTTATGGATGACTTCCATTGTTTATGGATGTCAGGGTGACTTCAGAGTCTGCGACTGAAAAGTCAAGTGTCACCTTCCTACCAGTTGGATGGATGTAAGTAAATAAGCATATGTAGCAGGCACGTACATGGGGGATGACTCCAGAGCTCCTGTAAATTAGCTAAGTGCAGGGGATAAAAGAGAGAATCTCCGTCAGTTATGTAAGAGAAGTGCCCCCCTTTTGATGGTTTTAACCAAATAGAATCACAGAGGTTAAAATAACTACAGCATTTTCATCCTATTTTTCTAACCTGGTACCATCTGCCAGAGATTTAAAGAAAGGGATTCAAGTGCACAATTAACCAAAAAGAGCACATTCTCAAAATCAGCTTTAACTAAAATAATCAAAAGTACCAAGTGCTGTTACCCAGGGTTTCTGGATTGAGGGTACACTTCTAGAACCCTGACCAAAACAAAACTTGGAGAAGACAGGCTTGCTTTTCTACTTCTTTACATCATTTTTATGCCAGTCCAATTCCAGTGCAGTCCAATGGAGTTAGATTGGTGTAAAAATTATGCAACCCAGTGGAAATCAAAGCCCTAGGTTTTTTTATAAAACTGATACACCAAAACACCCCAAACGCATCATTTTGTCCTTCATTTAAATTGTTTGCAGAATGGAGGTGCCGGCAAGTCCTAAAGGTTCCTTCATACTCACACAGAGCTCATCCCCAGGAGAGCAGGGATTCAAAGGGGGCCAGCTGTTCAAACAATTCCAGGAAACCTGTGTACAAATCTGACTTTTTTTTTCTCTTCAGAAAATGAGCCTTAAAAAAAGAAACAACAGAAAACAACACCTCCCCCACCCCAATCCGCAAACTGGAAGCCTTGGAAATCTCCAATGAACAGGCAAAAAGCAAAGCAAATCATAATACTTGGGGATTGACAATCCACATTTCAGCAGAGTGAAATAAGTATATCCCAGCTAGACACCAGTCAGAATCATATGTTCTGGATACAGCAAGAAGATCTTATCAGCTAGGTGATTTCATGCCTTTATTCAGGCTAATTTTCCCTTGGGAGTGAGAAACCATAAACCAAAACAACAAACTCCAGTTGTTGGATTTTTTTTTTAATCCAAATTCAGCTCTGCTAGGCCAGCCCCAAAACAGTTGTTTTAGCAAGATTAGCTCATTTCCAAATTCATGGTACTATTTTTGGCATCCAGACATGTGTACCTCTGCCAACTCTCCCCAAGCGACAGTACTTCTGAACTCTTTCATGTTTTACAACTGCTCTGTGTTGTCTGAGGATTTTGCTACAAGCGGGAGAAGACATCACTTCATTGGGTAGTTGGACAATTTTTCTGCACTTCATCATTGCACGGCTGTGTTTTTACAGGGCAGCTAATGCTCCCTTGGCACCCAGAAGATTTGTGTGAGAAGACAACAAAAGGAGGTGGGAATGGTGGGGGTAGGAAATACAATCCACTGTCAGTATTCTTTAACTATATCAGCACTTTCTGAGGGAAGGACAACAGAGGGTTGGAATTTATTCTATTCACCATCAATCACAATGAGCCAATAATGGCCCAAGGTTTTTGTGAAGAGTCTGGAAAGCTGGGTATGCAGGGCCACAGGTGGAATTCCATAATCCTGCAATTCTGGAGGTGGAATTCTCCATCGTAAGTGGAGGGCTCAGTGCTGTGACCCCTCTCTTCCTTCTGCAGATTAAGTTCTATGGCATGGGCTCTTCACTGGCCATCTGTCAGCAATTTCTCCCCACCTCCAATCCCCAGAGTGCAGGACTAAGAAAGAGGCTCACAACTTTTCAGATCAGATCTCATTGCATTGATCACGCGTGTCATCCCTCAACCTCCAAGAGACTCCAGGTCTGTGGATCTGGTGCTGTATCCACTAGAAAGTCTCCCATTGTCATTAGTGGGCATTGGATCAGGACCTACCTGGCCTGCTGGCTGGTTGCCTCAGCTTCCCTTCTTAGGTCTGTGGGCTCTGCCATATTCAACAGAAGTAACTCCTTACCACAGTACTGAAGAAATGCAATGCTCATAGCTCTGATACTCCTGGGCTAGCTGTAAGCACAGAGCGGGGAGAGATGGCTACTTGAGGGTACACCTACACAGCCCACGGCAATGCGCCTCCCAGCCCAGGTGGACAGACTCATGCGGCTTGCACTACCATGCTAAAAATACTTGTGGAGACATTGCAGGGTGGGCTAGAGCTCGGGCTCCGACGCCTGGAGAGGGGGTGGGTATCCGAGCCTGATCTCCAGCCTGAGCAGCAATTTCAAAGCATTGTCTACACAGCTATTTCCAGAGTGCTACTGTGAGCCCCGCAACCCTGTGTCTGTTGACCTGGGCTGGGAGGCTCGCTGCCATGGGCTGTGTAGACATATCCAAAAGTCAAGGATGTTTTCATCCTTGTTTTTCTTCCCTTCCCCCTTGAGTGTTTCCTATATTCCCCAGATTGTTCCAGATCTCTTACTTTATGAACGAGGCTGGGATCCCCCTGGCTACTCTCCTCGTCTTCTGAACTCTTCTGTTCCTCATCCGATGTGACGTCCTCCACGGGTACCACAGAGACAGGGCACACCTTGTAAGGCTCGGTATAGGCACTGTAAGCAAAAGGAACAGATCAGCCCATTGCATTCTCACCTTGCACTCCTCGTCACCGTTACTCAGACATAAGTGTTCCGTAGGCAGCCCAGACACAGCTAGTGGCAGGTAAACCATGTAGGTCTGTTAGACTTGGGGAGCAGGATTTCTGGAACTTCCTGCTTTTTGACAGTAAGTTCAGAGGCTACCATGAATGTGAAACATCATAGGAGGAAAGTTAACAAAACTCTTTAAACCTCCCAAAAAGTATGGTGTTTTGGTTCAGGCCAAGCTTGGGGCAGTAGTTTGACCAGGTTCATATTTTAGGGCCACAATTTGAACTGGTTTGCCCTTTGCTAGATACAACCACCCCAAAATGAATATAATAAAATAATGACTAACAATGCTAATTAATAATAGAGCTTAGATACTGAGATGCTTGGTTCTCTAGGGATACTTCAGATCAATAAAACAGCACAATAGTAACACCAATAACCATAGATAAAGTGCTAGGCATGGGCTCAAACCAAATCCTCAGATCTAAATATTTGTGAATTGTTTCAGTGGAATCTGAACGCAGATCCAGATTCCGCAGCTTTGGCTCATCTCTGTATTTGATCGCACCTTCCACCTGAGGATCTCAAATCATTTTGCCAATGTGGATGAATCATGAGCCTGAATGCCAGTCACAGAGTACAATGAAGGTGGCCATGGGTGAGTTAGTGTGACTAAGGGCTGGATTTGCCCTGGATTTCACCTAGAAAGTCCACTAGGAAGGGAGTTTACAACAGTACATATAGGCTTCAATTTCACTGGCACTGGGGTAAAGGTGAATGGGGCAGAGGAGACCTCCACAACCCGAAATGTGGAGAGCACAGGCTAGGGAGTAGCCATGGCCAGAGAAATCACTGATCTCCTGGGGAGTATCTATGGTGGGGGCTTCATTTCCCAGAGGAAACTAAAGCTGTCCTACCAAGGTATAATCCCCCAAGGAATGGCTGCTGGTGGAAACATCACCTGCCCGTCCTCAGTATGAATCAGCACTGCAGTGACTGGACACCCACTGACACAGAAAAAGGTTTTTTTGCCAAAGGTAGAGTATGAATCTAGCCCTTAGTCCCTATGCTCTGAGGGCCCAATCCAAAACCTGCTGAAGAGAATGACTGTGGACCAGGCCTGATTTTTCTTTCAGGAATGCAGCTCCCCGCTGAGGAGAAATTATTTGATTTTTACATTTATTTATAAACAGTTAGCTCTGTCACAGCTCCTCCGAGATCCTCATTGCCGGAGTGCAGTGGAGATCGCTCCAATGGTTCAGAGGGGAGAGAAGCTTCGGGGAGCTGCTCTGCATACTCTGCGGCAAGAGGATGGTTGTAGGTAGAGAGGTTGAGCCTGTTCTGTTCCTAAGCATTGTCTTCACTTGTTTATTATTAGTGTCTGTGGTTTTTCAGTGTGGGCGGCATCACTGCACTTCCTAAACCCTGCCTAGCTGCAACAACAAAGGAGCCTCTGTGGATCAGCTCCACCCCTCACTTCCAAGCTTTTATTGATGGTAATTGCTTTATTACTTTACTTTCCTCACTCCTAGTGCCTGAAATATATACAACTCTAAGGCCAGCTTATCTTCACTAACCCTCTCATCCATCAGGGAGTCTGACACTGTGGAGTCACAGGCTGCTGTTTTATAAGTGATGTATGTGGGTGGCATTGGCAGCAGAACGCTAGGGGCAGATGCTCCCAAAGCATATCATTTTAAAGGTGTGTCTAGACAAATTCTATTAGTGTTAGGGGTCTATATTTCTACTGATCTCCCATCCTCCTCTGGTTCTGCTACCTATGGTCTGTCCTCAGGCTGAGTCAGGCTTCGAGGCGTAACTCTTTTCTTGAATCTCTGATTGTCTTAAACTCTTCTCCCATCCTAATACCAAGATCCAAAACTCATCAAAATCAATGGTGGGCTTTCCATTGACTTCAGCGGGCTTTGGATCAGGCCCTAAATAAAAGTATCTCCTTCTCATGTACTAACTCTGCTCCACCAGCTCTGCCTCACTTCATCCTACACCCTGTCCTACTCCCTACACTCCCCCGAGCTTCTCTCCTCATTGTTCTCTTTGACTTTTCTGTCCCCTTCTTGCTCCCTCACCTACCTATGCTTCAGCCTCCCAACCCAATATAAACCTCATGCCCTCTCTCATTTCCTTCAAAATCCTTATGAAAGCCCAGCTGTTCCTAAAAGCCATAAGTCCTCTGTGATGGGATGCTCACCCCACACTACAATGGAGGGGTTAAAGTGGCTCAGAAGGACTACTTAGCTGGCTAGGCTGCACCTTGGGGGAGACTAAGGCTTGATGACAAGCACTAATTGAAGATGTAGCCCATCTGTGCAGGAGTAGGTGGAGGCTTGAATAAAGCCAGGAAGTCAGAGCAGAAGGGGGTGACAGAGTGGAGGTCTGCAGTCACTCTCTCGGTCTAGGGAGGAGTGAAGGAGGAAACCCAGGGGCAGGGCAGACGCCTGGGGATCCACACCCTGAGGGAAGAAGTTACCCAGAAGGGTGTTGGAGAAGAAAGCCAGCAGAGGGCAGAGTAGAAAGAAGCCCATGGAAATGGCAGCAAGGGTTGAGATGGCGCAGACCTTGGCTGCTGATTGTAAGGACCTGGGTTGGAACACAGAGTAGTGGGCAGGCCCAGGTTTCCCTACCAGCTATTGCGGAAGTGGCACAGTCTTGATTGGGAAGACTGTGTGGAACGGTACCAGACAGAGGATCTGATGAGACATTTTTACTCCAGGAGGGGAAAACTGTATAGGGTCCTGGCCACAGAGCCAGGCCTCGGAGAGGAAGCACTGCGACTCCTACACAGCAAGAGGGGCTGCAGCACCAGCGAGTGACAGAACGGGGCCTCAGTCCAGGCAGAGCTAATCCCCAGATGCAGCCACAAGGGGGAGGCCCAGTGATGAGTAGACCCTATCACAATTTGGTGGAGAATGCAGGCATGGCAGCTGACCAACACGAGGAGCCTGAAGGCCTGCAATTAGAGTTTCCAACTTTCTAATCTCACAAAACCAAACACCCTAGCCCCGTCCCTTCCCCGAGGCCCTGCCCCTGCTCACTACATTTCCCTTCCCTCGGTTGTTCGCTGTCCCCCACCCTCACTCACTTTCACTGGGCTGGGGCAGGGGGTTGTGGTGTGGGACAGGGTGAGGGCTCTAACTGGGGGCACAGGCTTTGGGGTGGGGCCAAAATGAGGAGTTGAGGGTGTGGGAAGGGGCTCCAGGCTGGGGGAGGGAGTTGGGGTGCGGGGGGGGGGGTAAGGGCTCTGCTGAGGGTGCAGGCTCTGGGGTGGGGCTGAGGATGAGAGTTTTGGGGTGCAGGAGGGGGCTCCAGGCTGGGGGGGGGGTGGGGCTGAGGGCTTCTGAATGTGAGAGGGGGCTGCTGGTGAGGCAGGGGGGTGGGATGTGAGACTCTGTATGGACTCTGGGCTGGGGGTGTGGGCTCTGGGGTGGGGCCGGGGATGAGGAGTTCAGGGTGTGGGAGTGGGGTCTGGACTGGGGCAGGGGGTTGTGGTGCAGGGCTGGGGGTGCAGGCTCTGGGGTGGGCCCTGGGATGAGGGCTTTGGGGTGCAGGAGGGGGTTCCAGGATTGGGGGGGTCAGGGCTGGGGCAAGGGGTTGAGGCATGGGCTTACCTCGGGTGGCTCCTGGGCAGCGACGCAGCAGGGCTAAGGCAGGCTCCCTGCCTGTCCTGGCTCCACACTGTGCCTGGAAGCAGCCAGCTAGGGTGACCAGATAGCCAGTGTGAAAAATTGGGACAGGGGGTGGGGGGTAATAGGAGCCCATATAAAAAAAAGTCCCAAGTATCGGGACTGTCCCTATAAAATCGGGACATCTGGTCACCCTACCTCTAGCAGGTATGGCTCCTAGGTGTGTGTGTGTGGGGGGGGGGGGCCCCGGGAGGCTCCACACTTTGCTCTTGCCCACAGGCACCGTCCCCCCAGGCCATGGTTCCCAGCCAATGGGAGTGCAGAGCCGGTGCTCGGGGCAGGGACAGCAAGTGGATCCCTGTGGCCCCCCCAACCTAGCAGCCAGAGCTGCTGGCTGTTTTGGGGGCACAGTGCAGTGCCAGGACAGGTAGGGACTAGCTTGCCTTAGACCCGCAGCGCTGCCAACTGGACTTTTAAGAGCCCAGTCAGCAGTGCTGACCAGAGCTGCCAGGGTCCCTTTTCGACCAGGCGTTCCGATCGAAAACCAGACGCCTGGTGAACCTACCTGCAATAGGGAAAGGACAGGGAAAGGGGACCATGGAGCCACCATGTGCGGAAGCCTTCTTTGCAGAGGGCAGATATACCCTACTGAGCTGGGCACTCTAAGCAAGGAACTGACTATGGCTATTGGGAATTAAAAATGGGCCACACTGGCCAAAGAGCCTGAAATAACATACAGTTTGGGAATAGAGTGTCCATCTCTTTGTTGTGTAACGACATCTGTTTATTCTCAGGACACACTACCAAGAGCAGAGTGCATGTTGGTTGGTGAATGACATGTGCTAAGTAATAAGTGCTCTAATGACTGCGTGGGCTTTTTGTGCGATACCACAGCACAGGGTAGCTGAAAACCTCTGTTAATTGTTGGCACATGAGTCACTAGTGAAAAGAGTGAGGCTTTTATTTTTCAATTCCTCCTCCCACTCATGTGGCTAGACAAGGATTCCCCCACTTCTCTAGCCCCGTTGGTGACTCTGCCCTCTGATAGAACGACACATTCTGATCCTGGTCAGTCCTCAGGTGAACAAAGTGACAGAAGACTAAGTATAAGAAATAAAAATATGCGACAATCACCTACAGAAGTGGCTCGAGCCAAAACCTGCCTAAGTCTGATCTCACTCACACCAGCATACAGAGGGTGTAACCCCGCTGCGATCAATGGAAAACTATTGTAAGGGAGACGAGAAGGAAGTTTGGCCACTACAGCCTCTTAAAAGTTATTTTGCCTCATTAGCTGTGGAAAGGGCAAAGATAATGAACTTT